TCCCATTTTCTGAGGAGAAATTCAAGCCAGCTGCAGAAATTTGCATAAGTAATGAGAAGCCAAATGTTAATCCCCAAGACAATGGGGAAAGTGTCTCCAGGGCATTTCAGAGGTCTTCACAGCAGCCTCTCCCATCACAGGGCTGGAGGCCTAGGAAGAAAAAATGGTTTCACAGGCCGGGTCCAGGGTCCCCATGCTGTGTGCAGCCTAGGAACTTGGTGCCTTGTGTCCTAGCCACTCTAGTTGTGGCAGAAAAGGCCAACAAAGAGCTCAGGCCATAGCTTCAGAGGGTGCAAGTCCCAAACCTTGGCAGATTCCATGTTGTGTTGGTCCTGCAGGTGTGCAGAAGACAAGAACTAAGGTTTGGGAACCTCCACCTAGATTTCAGAGGATGTACAGAAATGCTTACATGCCCAGGCATAAGTTTGCTGCAGAGGTGGGGTCTTCATGCAGAACCTCTGCTAGGGCAGTGCAAAAGGGAAATGTGGGAGCAGAGCCCCCACAGAGTCCCCACTAGGGTACTGCCTGGTGGAACTGTGCTAAGAGGGCCATTGTCCTCCAGACCCCAAAATGGTAGATCCACCAACAGCTTGCACCGTGCACCTGGAAAAGCCACAGACTCTCAATGCCAGTCCATGAAAGCAGCTGGGAGAGAGGCTGTACCGTGCAAAGCCACAGGAGTGGAGCTGTGCAAGACCATGGGAAGCCACCTTTTCATATCAGCATGACCTGGATGTGAGACATGGGGTCAAAATAGATCATTTTGGAGCTTTAAGATTTGACTGCCGTGCTGGATTTCGGACTTGCATGCGGCCTGTAGCCCCTTTGTTTTAGCCAATTTCTCCCATTTGAAATGGGAGTATAGTTACCCAATGCCTGTACCCCTATTATATTTGAGAAATAACTCACTTTCAATTTTACAGGCTTATAGGCTCAGATTTGCCTTATCTCAGATGAGACTTTGGACTACGGACTTTTGAGTTAATGCTGAAATAAGTTAAGACTTTGGGAGACTGTTAGGAAGGCATGATTGGTTTTGAAATGTGAGGACATGAGATATGGGAGAGGCCAGGGGTGGAATTATGTGGTTTGCCTGGGTCCCCACCCACATTTCACCAGAATTCCCATGTGTTATGGGAGGAATCAGGTGGAAGGTGGTTGAATCATGGTGGCAGGTCTTTCTCATGTTGTTCTTGTGATGGTGAATAAGTCTCACAAGATCTGATGGTTTCAAAAAGGGGAGTTTCTCTGCACAGGATCTTTACGCCTGCTGCCCTCCATGTAAGATGTGACTTGCTCCTCCTTGCCTTCTGCCATGATTGTGAGGTTTCCCGAGCCACATGGAACTGTAAGTCTATTACACCTCTTTCTTTCGTAAATCACCCAGTCTCAGGTATGTCTTTATCAGCAGCATGAAAATGGACCAATAAAGCACTTAAAACACTTCAAATATTTTGAATCTCTGGAAAACAGCTTGAGAAATGTGGATTTAAGGAATGACTTTGCCTGGGGAAGAGTCTGGAATTGCTTGGTGTTGTTAAACAATGTGTTAATGTTAAACCTTTTTGGAGCAAAATAAACAAATCAGGTGATGCCTTCTTAGTCTACAAGTCATAGCTCATGCAGGAGGTGGCAGGTTGAACATATCAGCAATCTGGAACCTTACCCGTCCTTTGCTCATGGTCCAGAATTTATTAGTATGAACAGGCTACTGCTGGGGTTCCATGCTGGGCTGAGGGGCCTGTCTTCCAGAAGAGGGGATCCTTGGAGAAGCACTGAGCTCCTACCCCAGCCACTGCCCTATTGGGTTACACAGGGACCTGCAGGGTTGCAGTGCATGCTACTGCTGGGACCAAGGGCTGTGCTTGCCTGTGGCTGAAGAAACTAACTGGGAGATAACACTTGTGGTCTTGTTTATTGTATTTCATTTAAGATGGGGATCGAAAACACATGTCCTAGATTGCAGAAAAGTCAGGGACTGGTGGGCTGTTTGGGTTTATGCTATACATCAACGGCAAGACAAATCCAAGAGCTGACCCACTGAGAGGCCCCCACTGCCTCCCAAAGTCAGTGCCACAGAAATCAGGACAGCTCTGGGAACTGGGGATTAGCCCATCCACACTGGATGCCTGTCAAAGGGATAGCCACTCCAGAAAGACTAGTTTCAAAGCGTATCTTAGCTGATCTGTTTCTCACAGCCAAAGAAATAAAGTAGGTTTAGGTAAAGTACTTGGCTTTTCTTTCTCTACTTTGCCCAGTCATGCTTGTAGAGATACTGAGGGACTTGCTAAGCAGTCTTAGGGCAAAACTTTAATATGCTCACATTTCCACATCAGTGGTCTGTAACCCTCTCTAAAGTATTCTGTAAACAGTCTTCCTCTAAGCACTGAGGTTAGTGACAAGCATTCCTGCCGCTTCTCCTTAGAATACACTTAGCCAAGACACTGGCTGGCTGATGAGTGGCCTTTGCTGCCTGCACCCTCACCTAGCAGGCAGCAGCACCAAGACTGAACTCCCACCTGGAGGAGCAGGAACCCCTGCGGTGTGCAGGTCCCTGGCCCTCTGCCCCACAATATTGCACAGTGCAGAGCCGCCCCACACCACAAGCGATGCTTGACAGAGCTTGATCATCCACTCTCTCCAACAAAGGTACCACTGTTACTCCTGAATGTGAACTGAGAGTTGAAAATAGAAAACTTTAGAATAGCTTGTGTTGTATGTGAAGTGATATTTCCTTAATATAAACTTGATATTTTTAAGGAGCTGCCATGCATCAGAGGCTTTTTTTTTTTTTTTTTTGGTAACAGTTAAGATATAATTTACATACTATATAATTCACTCATTTAAAGTACACGATTTAGTTGTTTTTAGTTGTTATATTCAGATTTGTGCAACCATCACAATCAATTTTAGAACATTTTCATAATCTCAAAAAGAAACCCCATACCCTTTAGTCTTCACCTCCCAATCCTATCCCCATTCCCCACTCCAACCTTCTGCCAAACCCTAGCAACTACCAATCTACTTTCTGTCTCTATAGATTTGTCTATACTGGGCAATTCATATAAATGGAATCATACAATATGTGATTTTTGTTTGTTTGTTTTCTTCCTGTCTTCAAGGTTCATCCATGCTGTGGCATCAGTAGTACAATAATACTTCATTCCTTTCTGTTCCCAAATAACATTCCATTACATGGATATACATTTTGTTCATCCATTCATCAGTGATGGATATTTAGGTTGCTTCCACTTTGGTGCTATCGTGAATAATGTTGCTAAGATCATTTGTGTACAACTTTTTGTATGGATATGTTTTCATTTTTCTCGGTCATAGATTTAGGATTGGTATTGCTGGGTAATATGGTTAACTCTTTTTGAGGAACTGCCAAACTGTCTTCCAGAGTGACTGCACTATTTTATTTTACATTCCCACAGCAAATATGAGTGTTCTAATTTCTCCACATCGTCTTCAACACTTGTGATTGTCCATCTTTTTTATAGTGGGTGTGTAATGGTATCTCATTTTGATTTTGATTTGCATTTCTCTGATGACTAATGATGTTGAACATCTTTTCATTTGCTTATTAGCCATCTGTGTATCTTTAGAGAAATGTCTATTCCAATCTTTTATCCATTTTTGAACTGAATTGTCTTATTATTATTGAAAAACTTAAATTTTGAATGAGTATTCAACTGCACTTTAAAATTCAGCCCCGGAAGACATTTTATGTCTCTCCCCAGGAAACGGGATACCATTCTGGGAGAACTCTAGTCCCTAAAGCTATGGTTTTTAATCTCTTTTTGATTCACAGACACCTTCAAGATTCTAATGAAAATTATGAATCTTCTCCCCAGAAAAATGCACACATGCACATTTTTTGCATTTAACATTATTAATATATTAACATTAATAAATGTTTTGCATTTAGTACCAAGGAGTTCTAGACCTTCCCCCATCAACTACTGCCTTACGTTCTTTTTGTAAGAGGAGTGCAAAAGTTCTTCTGATTGGATGATTGTCAAATAATTGAACCTGGCCTTAATGGGCAACATAAAATTCTCAACTTCTAGTTCCTCACAGAGAGAAAAAAAGAGATGTGAACTGTATTGTCTGAATTATCAAAACTGCACCGTGGAGAAATAGCTTTTACAAAAGATTGGTTTAAAGCAGTCCATCATCCCTCTAAATTTTCCCTTTCCAGGCCATGAGAGCTTTACACCATCATGTTTGGAGCCCTCTCAGAACAGTTTCCTCTGAATTTGGAAGTCAGCCTTATGCCATCAACCCACAGTGAAGCACACTGTAGGGGGAGCTGTGCAGATTATTATTACCAGTTATGAAAATGTTGGACTTCTCTTCTGGATACCCACACACTTTACAAAATGCTTATTCAAACACGGAGAAAAAACTGTGCTTTTCTTAAGTCTATGATTTTTTTTTTTATCTTATGAGTACCACAAAACTTTTAGGTAAATGTTTTCTTCTCTGCTTTTCCCCATCTGAAGCTCAGAGGTAACTTGGCTGCCTTCCTCTGGCAACTGAACCGGGTAACTAGATTCATTCGGTACTGGACTCGAGTGTTCTGAAAACAGAAAATCATTACCCGCAGTTTACCAGGTGTTATGTGTATGTAAGACAGAGAAGGTAAGAATTGTTTGGGTTTAAGCAGATGTCATAGAAACACAGAGTGCTATAGTATTTTTTTTACACTTGTTGAGATCAAATGAGGCTGCAAGGGAAGGTAAAGTCCAGCCCACAGTGGGAAGTTAACTTTGCCCTCTTCAGCTAAAATCTGCATAGGAATACAGATGAAAATTCATTGGGAATCCAGGACAAGAGGAATGAGATGACTTGCCCAATAAAACATTATCTGTAAACACCAAAAGTAGACTACTGATCCCTAATCTTTTCATCTCATTTGGGTACCCTGATCTCTGAGATTTTGGAAAATGTGTGTTAAGACACTAACTCAGATTTAGTCTTGACACATTTTAATATTTGGTATTAATATATCTTTTTGAAAAATGAAGGTGAGACATTAAATTACAGTTGAATTTTCTGACAAATTTGGATAACCCATTAATTACTAAATACTTCAGCTTTAAAAAACAGTACAAATTTAAGGAAATACATAGTACCTCATGATTCCTTAAGTATTTCTCGTGACTACAGAGTCTGTCATTGTTCCTCCTAGTCAACACGTAGTACAAACATCTCAGAAATGGGTTGCAGTCTACAGATTTTAAGCTGAAGCTTGGGACTGTCTAAAACTAAAAATCTCCTGAATATAATAGCAATGCACACAGCTACAGTATTTTTAGAAAATCTGCAAAGCCCTTTCAGATACATATTTTCAGTAAATGTTCTCGACGCCATTAGATATTATTTCGGTTTTACTGATAAATACAATGAAGACTTGAACAGTAGTGATTTTCATCCACCCAGTATTTGCTTAGGATGTTACGTGTTAGGCAGCATGCTGACTGAGGATGTAGGCAGGACCTAGCCCCTGAGAGATAGAAATCAAAGAGGATAGCACAGTCTGGTCGCGGCCACACACAGGGTGCTGTGAGAGCAATGAGGAGAAACGTTCCCTGATGTGGGTCAGGGTATAGGGGGAAGCTTTGCCAAGTCAGATAAAGTAGCCAAGTAAATGGGGAGTTTCAAGAGCACATGACAGGGTACGGGAAGAGGAGGCAAACTGAAGGACAACATGCACACCAACACGAAAGAAATGATGTGGTGCACCTCAGGAATGGCATTTTCCATTGGTTCAAACTAGCTGAGCCTCTCCTAAGTGCTGGGCTTGTGCCGGGTAATGGGGATCCCACCATGAACCAGATAAGCAAAGTCCTTGCCCTCAAGGAGTTTTAATTCTAATGGCAGAAATAGACAATACAAACGTAAATCAAGTAATGAAATGATTTCAGATAGTGGTGGGCACTATGAAGGAAATAACGCAGGCCAATGAGCTAGAGAAATGGGGAGAAGCAGGTTTGGGAGGCAGCAGTCAAAGGCGGCTTGCTCATGAGAAGATGCCAGAGTGCAGGCCTGCAAGGGGAAAACGCCAATCACAGGTGAGGTAAGAGAAAGGGAATATTCAGGGTAAACTGCAAGTCAAAGACCCTAAGAGGTTAAAGCTTGTTGTACTCAAAAAACAGAAAGGAGGACAGCATGGGTGGAACACAGTAAAGGATGATGCAATGGGAGATTAGGCCCAGATTATTGAGGCCCTGTAGGCTATACTAATTCATTTGGATTTTATTCTGAGTGGAGTAAGAAGCCTTGGGACTGGGCACAGTGGCTCACGCCTATAACCCAGCACCTTAGGAAGCTGAGGCAGGTGGATCACTTGAGGTCAGGAGTTCGAGGCCAGCCTGACCAACATCGTGAAACCCTGTTCCTACTAAAAATACAAAAATTAGCTGGGCCTGGTGGCATGCACCTGTAATCCCAGCTACTCGGGAGGCTAAGGCAGGAGAATCACTTGAGCCCGGGAGGCAGAGATTGCAGTGAGCCGAGATCCTGCCATTGTACTGCAGCCTGGGCGACACAGTGAAACTCCATCTCAATAAAAAAAAAGAGAAGCCTTGGAAGAGTCTAAAGGGAAGCAGTGGTGACACTGTTTCATTTACTTTTCTAAAGGATAACTCCAGAAGTTCCCTGAATTATTGGTGTGAGTAGTATCAGTTAGGCTACTGCCAGAATCAGGGTGAGAGAGAAGTAGTCTGGATCAGGTGGTAGAAGTGCAGGAGGGAAATGGTTGGGTCTGAGATAAGATTCTGGGGGAAGATTCAGGACCTCCCAAATGACTGGATATGCAGACGTGGGTAAGGAAGGAATTATCAGCAACTCCTAGGAACAGGCAAACATAATGCTGTGTCCTGATATGGAATCTTAGCAAGAGGGAGAATAAAGAGTTCTCTCTTGGAAACAAGACGTTTGTCAGACATCCAAGTGAAGACATCGCATAAGCAGCTAGGTATCTAAGACAGCAGCTCCGGGAGAGGTCAAGATTAGTAATAAATGTAAGGGTCACTGGCCTATAAGTGGCATTAAGAGCTTGAGATTGGAATGGAAACTTCTAGGGAAGAGAATGCTGAGGGAGAAAACCCATGACAGAGCTCTAGGGGGCCCTCTGACTTACAGGTTAGAAGAGGAAAAACCATGAGATGGAGTGGAGGACGAGGTAGAGATGAAACCAGAAGTTCCAGGTCTTAGAAGCCAAGAGAGAGTCCAGCTGTGCTGAATGATGCTCAGACGCTGATTAGGTCACTGGTGAACTCAAGAGCAAGAAAGCAGTCTGGGGATGGAAATGGTGGTGGAGAGGGTTAGGAAGAGAACTGCGGTGGGGCGAGGTGAGAAACTGGAAAGAGTCACTGCAGACACCTCTTTTCAGAAGTGTTTGGGTGAAAGGAAGCAAATAAACATACAAAGCAGTAGATAGAGAGGTATAAAAAAAATGAGGTTTTTTTTTAAAAAAGGGGAAATAACAGGATGTTTTATGCTAATGGGAAAGATCCACTAGAGAAAGAGGATTCACAGGGGCCATACCCTTAAGGTGGCAAGTACACTACACTGACCTGTCTCATCTGTAACTGCACATTCTAGTTCCTTTGCTAGATCTATTTCCTGTGATTCTCAGATGCTGGCATCTTTCAGGGCCCCAAACCCAGCCTCCTGCTCCTCTCTCTCTCCACAGCCTCCCTGGTGGATCTTATCAACTCCCATGATTTCAAATGCTTCTGGCACATCAACATCCAGATCTTTATCTCCCATCTAAACTTGTCCTCAGCAGTGCAGACGCTGAACATTTATTTCCAATGGATATTCCATGGGCACCACGCACGAAAGCCAGTCCCTTGCCCTCCCTGCCTCTCTCCTCTGCATGAGTGCTGAGCAAGAGAGGACTGCTTGCTAAGGTTCTTTAGCCTACCCCGCTTATTCACTGCCAGCCTGACTTTACACACCACCAGCCCCTTGGCTAAGAGGGGCTACCAGCCTAGTAAATAACCAGCACAGTTGGATGGTAAGTGACAAAACCAGTCTATCAATCCAGGTAAGTTTGACCCCTAAATCCATGTTTCTACATATTTCCCTTAAAGAAAGTTCCTGCAGCTACTTTATTTTCAACATGTATCATAAAATCCTTATTTCAATTAGTACACAGCTATTCACATTTAAGTCAGCAAGATAAGTATCACTTTATGATAATACATATTCGTATGAGAAAAAAGTCTAGCAAAGTGGTTTATTCTCACAACTTATCGCTGGAGGAAGTCCTTCAAACAAACCAGTGCAGAGAAAATGCCTATCAAAAGTATTGGTTTTTCAGCTTTCTTCACCACTGCTTTAGATGTATCATTTTTATAATTTTATCTCTTCATGTTTTTAAAGAGCTGCTACTTCAGATGACAGTAACTCTTTGGTGTTTATTTTTATTTCCAAGATTGTGATTTTTTTAAGAGGCTACTTTAAGGCTGTGAATTGTCTCACTGTCTTTTCACTCTCTCTTTTTAGTTCTTCAATATGGGCATCCAAGCGCTCTAGAATGTGATGAGACCTCAGTTCCTCCTCTTCCAAAAATCTAGTAGCTATTGAACCAAGGGGAGAAACAGGCAAGGAACACTGGAAGAGAGACAAATTTTGACATGTGTAAATAAGTAGAATATTATATTTCTAAGACACACTGTTCATGACATTTTCTAACTAGCAATATTAAAAGCTGATTGTTTTCCTTTGAAGAGACTTTTTTGGTTTTCATCCTAATAATAAGAGCAATAAAAGAACAAAACTCAGTAAGTTCTGTAAAAATTAACACAGATCTGTCCCTTTCTGACCCAAGTTGTAATCATGTAAAGTATCATATATTAGTTATTGGTCTGAAGAACGTTTCAGTTTAGACTTATATATCCTTCCATAGTTAATGCCTATTATTTCAAACTCACTTTAAAAACCTGAGTATGTCACTTTCATTTTAAAGCACAGAAAATTTAACAAAAATAAATTAGATGACAGCTAAAATCAATATTTTTTCTCCTCCAAATTTTCAGTCCACAGTCCCTTATCTGAAACCCTTGAGGCTAGCGATGTTTCAGAATTCTGATTTTTAGAAAGGTAGTACAGAACATATGCCATATGCAGTCAATACTCATTCACAACAGCAGTCGTTGTGTTCTATAAAGTCACCCAGAACACTGAATTAGCAAACACAGAATTTTTGGCCCAGGGAAATATACACATACAACAAATACACACACACACACACACACCCCACAGAGAGTACAATCCTAAATCCTAGAACAACTCATTCTGGTGGATTCTGTATTTTTTATTTCACATGAGAGACATGAGGATCAGAAGTGGTAACTCTCCTGAGGCCGCCCCACTAACTGGTGCCGAGGCTGGGATTCAGACTCTACCCATTCCTCTATCTGGCGTGGAGCTGAGCTTCTTCCCTACACTGCGCTGTCCCATCCATCTCCACCCTCTGGTCATCTCCGCATAAGAAGGGACAAGAAGGCCGAGTGCTGCCTACTTCAACCTTGGCTGGGATTGTGTAAGTCGGTCACTCAAATTTTTGGCCACTCTGTATATGTCCACGAATGACTGTGGAAGTGCTGCACATACTGATTTGGGAGTTATAAAGTTTAGGGAGTAGACAAATTCACAAATACAGAATCTGTGAATAATGAGGATCAACTGTATTACCCCAGTGGAGTCTGAGGGAACATCCCATAACCAAACACATTGATATTTCTGAAGCAAAACACATGGATATTCACACTAAGTGGAACAGAGAAAGTCTATACAAATTAACACATCATTTCAGGCCAGGGAAAGTTTTGGTGCCAAAATAATTTTGCTGCTAAACTTAGGAAGAAAGTGAAGTGAGGACTTATTTTGAAAAATAAAAGAAAACCTTTCCATGGATTTGGTGGCACATTAATAAGTCAAAAATACTGCACTTTCATGGCTATATGGCTGCAGCTGGTGACAGGAAATGAAGGGCCCATGGCAAGTGCTTTGGTGCAGAAGGCAAAAAGATGGTGCAGGCTGCACAGCAATGGAAGGAGCAAGGGACCGGCATGGTGTCCAAGGCACATTCTGCTCTGAAGGCCACCATCTGTGACACCCAAGCCATGTTCTGCACACATCAGAGGCACACACTTCCTCCACCTCTGAACTCCCTTTCTCCTTTCCAGCAGCTCCTCTTTTCTTCCTTCACTGCCTGTGCCTCAGGACTATGTTGGCATCCAGAGACATTTCTTGAACTAACCATTCCAGAAGAAAATTGAGCATCTCTTAAAAGGGCAGGAAGGGAATTTCCAATAAGTGTTAAAGACAAATGAATAACTATAACACATTTCAGAACATTTTGAAAAGTAGTCTTGGCTGAAAGTCTCTTCACAAGCAAAAACTGTATGACAGGGATATACCTGAAAATAATGAAGAGTACTTATGATAAAAGAACCAGTAAGGAAAAAAAAATCAACCTCTTCACCCTTAAAATAAAAAATAAAATCAAACTAAAAAACTAACAAATTAATAAGATCAGAAAGTTTCCATACCGAAGACATAAACTCTTCTTGGTCATTCATACTCTCAGACACAGTGTCAGAAAAATTGGCTTCATTTGTATCTAGCGCTGAAGGCAAACAGTGACTTTTACACAGAGAGTAGGAAGTCAAAGACCTGGTGGAGCTGCAAGGGCTGATTTGAGGACTCAGGGGGCTTAGCACCCTAGACATGGGGTCTATACTATCCGACGCTTGTCCTCTTGGAGAATGAAGACCTGTTTTGTAGTGCTCAGTCTTTATTCCATCATGTCTGTGCTGGCCATGGGTTGGCCTGGATGGTAGATTAGAAAACAAAACAAATAAAAAATTGTAGCAACTTTTCTCTCTCCAACAGAAATGTAGGAAATTTGCTTAAGCCAACAGCCTAATTAATAAGGCTAGAATTTACAAAATGAGCAACCTACTGAGATCAGGTGTTCTTTCATTCATTCAGGCCCCAAATATCCAATCCCCACTACCAGGTCCCTGCCCTCACACACTTATGGTATAGCAAGAAAGACCAACAAGCTGCCAGGTAATCTAGTGTGGTTAGTGCTGGGACAGGAGAAGTGCTGTGCACCTAAGAAGGCACCTAACCTCACTAGAGGGTTGGGCAGGTGTAGGAGTAGAGGTGAGCGTGTCAGCGAAGGCTTTGGGTAAGAAAACATGTAAGCCATATAGTATGAGCTGAAGCCAGGTGGCTTTTCACTGAATGCTTATTTCTTATGGTAACAGCCTATAACAAACTGACTAAAAACACAAAGGAAGCTGTTTATAAAAAGCCATATTCTACTTCTTATGGGCAAATGGGGTTGAAGAGGTGGAAGGCAGCATGAAAAGTCTCAGGTAATACACATGTTGTTTACACTGACATCCAGAGTGTACAAAACAAAAGCTTTAATGAAAATGCTATACACCTCCCCCACCCATTTTTTAACATGATCATGGCTTTACTTGTGTACACTATACTTCAGAATTAAACATGGAGTCCTTTGATGAAGATTTAATTTCTGTAAGTCAGAAATTATTCTCAAAGAAATGAGAATTATATTGTACCAATACACATTTTAAATAAACTTTTAAGAAATTTTACTTGAACTCTGTATTCTTGAACTCAGTTGCTCTGCTGTGTGTTGGTTTAAAGATCCTGTCATTTTGTTTTTTGCACATCTGAGTAGAAATCTCCAGCTGAGATTTGGTATTCATCAAATCTTTCTGTAGTTGTTGATTTTCAGACACTAATTTATTTAATGCCTCAATATAATTCTCCTGGAGATCTGCTAGTGAAATCTCTTTTGCCTAATAAAAAAGAATACTAGAGTCACTTAATCTGTACAAGAATACTTGTGATCTGTGATACTGCTGGTTGGAAATTTCAGTATTTTTTAGTTGTAAGTAGTTAATCTATGGCTTTAATTTAGAAAAAGTGAAGATTTGTTTTTAGGCCTCTAAGACTAACAGAGATAAAGAATTATTCAAGTAAATGCTGGTGGAACGCTAGAACCACAATGGGCTTCCTTGTGTGGCAAGGAATTCCAAGGAGGTGGAGGAAGGATGGAACCAGGATGGAGGAAAGTTGTAAGAGGGAATCAGAAACAGGGAAAAAGAAGGAAAATAGTGGCCATGTTTCTTCTGCAAGAAGGTGAAGGTTGAATAGCCCCAGAATACCAGTGGAAGAAAACAGAGACCTAGTTCAAGGAAAGAAATTTGAACAAAAAGTTCTGAGAAAAAAATCTGGCTGGCAGGGACAACTTTAAAATAAATACTCTCTAATATTAAACACTTTTCTACAACTTTGATATCTACTCATATATAAATTTGGACATGATAAGGCAGGATTCAAGTACATAGTGGGAATTACTATTGCAATCTGGTATCATATATTTGATTGCTTTTCAATTCGAGGTGTTTCCTGGTAAGACACTACTTGAAAAAATGGTAGTCTGGGTGATTTTTTTTCTGATGACAAAATGTTTTAATTAGTATTATGCAAAGTTATGGTAATCTTTGGAGTTTAATACCATGGTTAGCTTGGTCTTTTCTGCAAAAAAAAAAAAAAAAAATTCTGAAAGTAAGCTCGTCAAGAGTGGTCTAACAAACATAATTTTCCTAACAAAAACATAAACTTTAAAATATATCTGTGAACTATCTGTGTACAAGTAGTGACTAAGAGCTACAAAATCTTTCAACAAGTTGTAAATGCCAGATAAAATACCAGAGAAGAACATCTGCAGGACATATGAGTTAAAATGAAACTATTATCAGTTTTTAAAACATGGTAAATAATGTATTTTATCAGAGCTGTTGCTTTCATTACTAAGATAATTAGGTAATTTATTAAAATAGACATTTAACCCAAACATTCATTTGTACAAGTAACTTCAGCTTTCTACATGGTAAAATGCAAAAGGGCACTTTCTAATAATTATTCTTCATAATATGTACAACACATTCACACTGTATGTAATTTCAAAACTAGAGAAAGCTTAAACTGCTGACACGGTTTTCACCAGTTTGATGTCTGATGTCATTAAACATACTTATTAAAAAATGATGATGCTTACCTTTGTTCAGGTATGTTTTAAAAATTTCTCTAAGTTATTATTTTATAAACAATTACTATAGATAAATGAATATGAAAGGTAATATGAAAACTGAGTAGCAAGCACACATCTAGCTGTGTAAAGAAAGAACAGTATTACCACTATTATTGACAGCTGGAAGTTTCAGGAGAAATTAAGCTGAACAGCATCTCTGGTCATGGTCTGGCTAAAGTTCCCCAACAGTTCTCAATTCTTAAATATGAACAGATAATCACTGCATTAAGAGTCTCTCAATCAAGTACTGCCGAAACCTAAGCCTTTACAGAATTCTGTGGTGTAAATCAGTTTAGTTCTTAGAGTTCTCCACTACTAGCTTAATATTGGCTTTATTAGGGGATATCAAGTTCCCTCCCTCCATTCCTTCCTTCCCATCTTCCCCCTTATAAAATGTTTAGCTATTGTCTCCTCTCCTATTATTCCCAACCTTGTGGATTTGTGCTTTAAAAATAAATCCTTTCATGATAGTTTTAGAGGGATTTGAGGATACAGCAAGATCAGATGAGTGTTTTCACCTGCCACCTTTCATGACAGCGTAATATTCATAAAATCACAAATTAACCACTGAAATAAATATTTAGTTTACTTCAAAATTTTGGACATTGCAAACAATACTGCAATGACCATTTTATGCACATTTGCTCCTAGAGAATGGTTTCTAAGGGAATGTAAAAAGATAACACCATTCTGAAAACAATTCAGCAATGACTATCAAAATCAGAAACACACATGACCCAGGAATTTAGAAGCTATATGTATTTACGCATTTGATGGATACTGCTAAGCTGTCCTCTAGAAAGGCCATATCAATTCACTTTCTCATTGACAGTGCAATCAATCTGTTTCCTTACATCTTTCTAACATTGGCTATATATTAGTTTTTAAAGGTTATTATCAAACCAATTAGTAAAACAATGTCTATTTATTTTGCTTTATTAGAGAGGTTGAACAGTTTTCTTTGTTTACTAGATATTTATATTAATTCTGTGAGGTATCTATTTACATCCTTTGCCTATTTTTCTACTGGATTATCTTTTCCTTATTATCTTTGTAGGGAATTTTTATGTATTAATAATTTACATTAACCTTTTGTCTGATTATAAATTGTTTTCTCCCTATTAGCCTTTTTTAATATGGCCTTTTACCTTCCAGAAACTTCACCTTTTTATGTTGTAAAATCCTCTATGACTTCATGATGTGTAGAGAATCTTACCCTTCTGAAAGATTACAAAAATAGTCCCCCGTTTTTCCAGTTGAAATAAGGTACTCTACAATAGTCTTTTGCACATTCTTCCACCCCAGTATCCACAATCCTGGATTGTGAAATTTGAACTTTTCAGAGCAAACAGGGAGCACCTTGGAATTATGTATCTTTTTGGAGGAATACTCTCTGGAAATCCAGGAAAAAAGCATTTATACAATTTTCAGACATTTGACCTACACCAAGAAAAGATGGGTCAGAATAGATGAGTCATTTCACAAATTATAGGAACTTTGTAACAAAACAGTTAAAAGAGCATCTATACTGTAATTCACTGTTGGCTAATCATGTTCTCTCTGGTTTCACAGAAGCTTGTATGCATTTCTTACCCTTGCTACTAGATTACTCTAGTCTCTTAAAGGCTAGAGTAATTTGAGTGATTGCAGCTGATCCAAAATCTCTCTTAAAGGCAAGAATGCTATCTTATTCATCCTGTGTTCATTATAGCACCTACTAAAAGTCCTTGAATATAAAAGATTCTAAAATATTTTACTATGTGAATATCTTGCAGAAAAAAAATTAAAGCTAAATTATTTTAAAGACAATATACTTTCTAAAAATATAACATAAACATAATAATCATTAACAATAATAATAAAAATACCACCACCTAGCATGTATTGCATACTTACTAAGTGCCAGGTACTATGCTAAGTCCTTCATATACATTCTTCCAACTAAGAACACAGACTGTAGGTATATTTTATCACATACATAATATAAAAAAAAACCTTCATGGTCAGGCATGGTGGCTCACGCCTGTAATCCCAGCACTTTGGGAGGCTGAGGCAGGAGAATTGCTTGAACTCGGGAGGGGAGGTTGCGGTGAGCCAAGATCATGCCATTGCACTCCAGCCTGGGTAACAAGAGCAAAACCCCATCTCCAAAAAACAAACAAACAAAAACCCTTCCTGCTGCTGGAGTGGACAGTCATATTTTGCTCACTTCCAGCATTTTGCCTTCATTTCCTTTAGAAAATTTCTGCAAAAGGATCTAAGTTGATCTTAACTCTCTGTTTATAATGTTAATATTTACAAAGTAATTTTTTTTAAGACATGGATAATAGAAAAACTTAAGTTTCTATTTATGTACCTCATGTAAACCCAATTCGAATTTCATCACCATTTCAGAAAGATGACGATTTTCTAATTTGAGTGACTCCAGCTGATCCAAAATCTCCTGAAAAGGGGAAAGCAGAAAAAAATAAATATAACATGTAAATCAAATGCATCTTACAAAATTTTCCACATGGAATTTTCATTAGGCTAAGTCATATTCTTCATTTATATATAAACATATATAAATACACATATATATATATATGGACTTTCTAAAAAGATTTATAAGGTGTTATTAAGGTGAATGAACATGAATGGGATGAAGATATCATTCTAATAGGATAAATCAGGTGATAAAGCAGCAAAGTTTCAATTCACTGGTAAATCCCTTAAATCCCTACCCATTCTCCTGTGTTGGACTCCTCCAACTTGGCTTCTACCTGCAACGTCACATGGAATTGTACTTTATTCACAAAATAATAACTTATTTTCAGTTCTCATTCCCCTTAGCTTTTGTGCTTAACCATTCCCATTTGAAAATATTCCTTCTGGCCGGGCGCGGTGGCTCACCCAGCACTTTGGGAGGCCGAGACGGGTGGATCACGAGGTCAGGAGATCGAGACCATCCTGGCTAACACGGTGAAACCCCGTCTCTACTAAAAATACAAAAAAAAAAATTAGCCGGGAGTGGTGGCAGGCGCCTGTAGTACCAGCTACTCGGGAGGCTGAGGCAGGAGAATGGCGTGAACCCAGGGGGCGGAGCTTGCAGTGAGCAGAGATCACGCCACTGCACTCCAGCCTGGGCAACAGAGTAAAAAAAAAAGAAAATATTCCTTCTTTCCTTGGCTTGGCAAAAACTATCTGATTTTCCTCCTCACTGCTCCCTTTTTTTAAGCTTCATTCCAACATCTTTTATACGCTAAATGAGAAGTATCCTAAGTTTGGTTTCAGTCACTTCTCTTTTTATGCTATGCTTTCTCACTATAATCATTAAGTCTCTCAGGGGGTTTCAAATGTCACCATGAAGAAAGGACAGCCACAGCTAAATACCTAATCCCGCTTTTAATCTTTAACTCCAGGCCTTCTGTGGAAATGACTATTATCCACACAAAATTCCAGCCTTTATTCCAAACAAATGTGTTAAACCAAAGTCCTCTCCACCAGTTTCCCCAGTCTGTGTACTTTTCACACAAATTCATCATCCTTCGCCAAACTAGATCCCTGTCTTTTCTCTATTTAATTAAAGAGCATCACTTTCCATCAGTTGCCTAAGCTTAAATCCTGTGGAACACCATTTCTTAACTCTGCCTACCTCACCCTCCCTGCCAATCAAATACAATGCCCAGTCATTTTTACCAGCCCAGTATCTCCAGAATTCATCCATTTCTCTCTCCCTCCCTTACCCACTGCTCAGGCCACCATCTTACCACTGTAACAGCATCTGGGTGCTCTGTCTCCCTGCTTATTCTCCATTTAAAGACCACTGAATTTTACTCCTGCTTGTGGCCATTCCCTACTGACCTCAAGGTCACAGTATAACTCCTTTATGTGGCTAACAGAGCCTTTCAGCAGCCAGTCCCTGCTTTCCAGTCTCATACCTTCCACTCATCCCACGTGTACTCTAGTTTCAACCACAGCAAGCGTTTTTCAACCACAGCAAGCGTGTTCTACTATCTCTTAGAGACCTCTGTATTTTCCTGTGCCTGAAATACTTTTCCTTCCCCTCACCCAGCTCGCTCCTAACTTAGCTTTGCTATCACACCTTCTGGAAGGCCTTTGCAGTGAGTGGTCTAGATTCAGGCTGCTTGTGATCTCTAGTGACTCTCATCATATACCACTGATACAGTCACTTTACTTGTCTGTGTCTACTCTCACCTCTGCACCACCCTCACTAAACTCTCTGTTAACCAGCATACCCTCAGCTCAAAGCAGGTATCTAATAAAAATTCACTGAATTAAATATTATGAAAATTATGTCTTTAATCAATTCCATCTTTAAAACAAATTTCAAATTTAAAAAAGTTTTTGTTCAGGCTTCACCTTATGCTCTACTGCTTTTTCTTCTGCCTTTTGCATCTCTGCTTTGAGTCGCTTTTCCATGTCTGAGGAAGAACCTTTGGTGGAAGCAATAGAGATATCTCGCTGATGTAACTCCTGAGTTAGATGGGAGATTTCCATCTTCATTCCTTCTAGTGCAGAACTGTAACTTTGTTCACCCTGTAAAATCTGTTCTTTCAACTATAAAGAAAGCAGAAAAGAAAGCACCAAAAGAGAAAGCATTTAGATAGAATAATATGTTACCAGCTAATAAAATAAAAGCTTACCTTATCTCAAGACATTAAATTTCTCCTGAATTAAATCTGCAGAAAAATTAGCAATTTACCAAGTTGCATATCTGTACTGAAGGTCAGGTGGTTATACCTACAATCATTTATTATACCTCAAAACAGGGAGAGATGGGTTATTCAAGTGCTGAGGACCAGAATCAAGGTCCATGCACACTATTTAGAGGACAGTACTTGTGACCTTCATTCTTTTTTATAGTTGTGAATCTAAAAGTTTTGCTCATATGGTATCTTGGTCCACAGGATAACAAACAGAAAGAACAAGAGGAAGAAACGAGCGAGAAGTAATCTTCAAGAAGTAACAAAAAAATACAAAACAACAAATAGGACAGTTAGGACCCACTCATATAGACACAAACAGCTCTGTATACCTCAATAGCTGACAAGGATACCAACCACATCATAGCACAGGAGACAATCCATAAATACTATGTTTAGGCAATAAGAAAATATTAAATGACAGTTCATATTTTTTTGCAAACACGAAGTGTATGTCTTTTAGAAAACTTTTCATTAAAACATGTTTAAAATAAAGTTTTTAAGTTCAAAGGGAACAGCCTTCAATTATCTTAAAAATATTTATTGGGCATCGGGGGGATGCCAGAGAAAGAAGGCACTTTCCCTGTGCACATTCCACATACTCTTCCACTCCTAAATATCAAGTGGCCCCTTGAACTACATTTTTCTCTCATTAAAAATAACCCCTATAATCTCCAAACCCACAGCTCAGTCCATAAACACATACAATTTTGCAATCCTAGGTATGCATATTTTTACCTTCTTAATCTCTGCTCTGTATTCATTGTTATGTGCTTCCATCCTCTTTAATTCTTCATATTTTTCCATTAGTTCTTGACTCAGCTGTTTACATGTTGCACTCACAGATTCCAAACTGTATGACAAAAATAAGATCCCATATTTAAAACAAAACCAAAATCCCGAAACCTATAAATTGGACTATATAATTTACATTCTTGATGTCCAAAAAATATCCAGCCAATATCTTAAACATGACATCACTCATTTAAATATTACTAAAAAGCCAATCAATAAAAAAACTGTGATAAAAATGTAAATTGTTGTCCCAATGTCAAAAATAATAAACTTAATTTTAGTCAAATGGAAGAGTACACATATACTTCAATGATAACAAAGATTATCTCAAGTACTCCAAGTATTCCAAAAGGAATAAAGCAGAAAATATGTGTGTGTACGTATGTTTGTGCATTTAACATGTAGATAAAAGAAAATACTTACTGGTTTCCAAAACCAGAAATAAATGTAAAAACAAAAAATGTATTACTTAAAGATAACTTAAAAAGTGTAAAATGATATTTCTCTTGTTGTTTGCCTAAAGGTTAACAGTTCATGTTAAAAGTAATTTTATCTTTTACATACAGAAAATGCCAATGTACAAATGATGATGAGTCATGTGTTTAAAACAAAATATCACACTCTTCCCAATCAAAAAGTTGAGAGGTATGAAAAACCAAAAAAAAAATTATAAGTACGACAATGACAAGAGTTTAGGTAGGTATGGTATAGCATTAGTCAGGATTCAATTAACACCCAAGGAAGTAACAACACCACAGCAGAACAAAAAGGAGGATCACCGTGTGTCAACTGTTACCCCTTCCTACCCTGCTTCCAAGGTGGCAGGGAGGACAACCTAAGTGAAGGGCTGCTAAACAGGTGAAAGGTAAAGAAGTAGAGTCAGTACAGACAATTCTTTTAAAGAATTTGGTCTTAAAGAGAAGTACAGAAATGTGGAAGTAACTTGACGGAGATATAGGATTAAGGGATGGTTTTTCCCCCAGATGGGTGATGTTATAGCATATTTTATACCAGTGGATATAATTCAGCGGAGAGAAAGAACTTGATGATGTAGAAAAGAAAGGATATAACTACAGAAAAAGGACACAAGTGGAGTAGTTGGTCTTAGAAGTGCAGAAAGGCACAGGTGTGGGAAGACTGGTAGTTTTGATGACAGAAAGATTAAGAAGTTCTCCTTTAATTGCTGCTGTCTTCTCAATGAAATAAGAACTTAGGGCAGGGCGTGGTGGCTCACACCTGTAATCTCAGCACTTTGGGACGCTGAGGCGGGTAGATCACCTGAGGTCAGGAGTTCAAGACCAGCCTGGCCAACACGGTGAAACCCTGTCTCTACAAAAATACAAAAATTAGCCAGGCGTGGTGGTGCACGCCTGTAATCTCAGCTACTTGGAAAGCTGGGGAGGAAGAATCGCTTGAACCGGGAGGCAGAGGTTGCAGTGAGCCGAGATCGTGCCATTGCACTCCAGCCTGGGTGAAAGAGTCGGACTCCATCTCAAAAAAAAAAAGAAAAGAAAAAAAAAAAAAGAAACAAGAACTCAGGCAGTTTGTGGATGCTAGAAAAAAATCTTATTTTTTTCACTATGACTACTATATTCATTTACTTTATCAATATGATGATCAAAAATTCATTTTAACAACTTGAAATTTTTGAAATGTGTGTATAATTATGTACCTGCCTTCAAGACGAGTCACCTCTGCCTGCAGAAGTTCCTCACTAGTATGGGTAAAATTCAACTGCGAGAGCACACTGTCTAAGTCCCCCTGCCCTTGAGAGGTGTACTTCTTTTCTGCCAGAGATTCTTCCCGTAGCCTATGGAAAGACATAGGATGACTGTTAAGGCCTTTATCTCTGCAAACACAAACAATGCACATCTAGTTTGTGTTTCCCAACCATTTTTGATAAACTCTTTGTAACTCTTCAGTTTGTCTCCTGCTTTATAAAAAGAATATTGGGAGAGGAAAGACAGTCAAGAGATCCTAAAAGTTACAAAAGCAGCAATTTACTCCCTTCTTAACTGGGATTTGGCCTATTTTTCAAGGGAAAAAGACAAAATGGCAAAATCACTTCAGTGACACTTGAAACCTTGTAGCAAAAAAACTGAAAAGTTACAGGAGAATTCTGGCAAAAATAAAAATGTGCACCAGACTTACATCAAGCAAGAGGGTTAGCCCAATGGCTGGCTGCTATTATTGATAAGCAGCTACTAATCACGACCTACTCCACCAAGAAAGTGAGGCCTCCAGGAGACGTGAATGACAATTCCCTGCATGTTTGGATTTTCCCAAAGCATGCAAACTGACCTTGGCTTCTAACTTTCTAAACATGAGAGTCTCTGTTAGGGATCCAAACTGGTGGCAGAAGAAAATTAACCACACAAAATTTTATAACACTTTAAAAACCTAACTCAGAAGTTAAAGCCAATTAAGAAAATCCACAATACGATCAAACATAAAATTATGAATATGCAATATTAAAACCAGTGCTTGGACGGGCGTGGCAGCTCACACCTGTAATCCCAACACTTTGGGAGGCCGAGGTGGGCAGATCACCTGAGGTCAGGAGTTCAAGACCAGCCTAGCCCACATGATGAATGGCCATCTCTAAAAATACAAAATACTAGCCAGGTATGGTGGCGTGCACCTGTAGTCCCAACTACTCGGGAGGCTGAGGCTGAAGAATCGCTTGAACCTGAGAGGTGGAGGTTGCAGTGAGCTGAGATTGTACCACTGCACTCCAGTCTGGGCAACAGAAGGAGACTATCTGAAAATAAAATAAAAATAAAATAAAAATAAAAATAAGCCTAGTGCTTAATGCCTAGCCATTAAGTGGCTAAGATGAATAATATTTAAGATTAAATTTACCTTATAGCTTCTACAGCATGTTGAGTGTCAGTTGCCTTTACTTTTTCTTGTAACTTCTCCTTTTGCATTCTTCCCTCATGGATGAGATTTTCTTGAGACTGAAGAGCTGCCCTTAATTCTCTCTTTTCTTCCTGCAGAGCCTGCGAAAAAGTCAAATATGATTGTAATTTTCCTTCAATTCTTTTTTCTTCCTGCAGAACCTGCAAAATACCCAGAAATTTCTAAGCCAGTTATTATTACAATTTTTCTATTTCATAAGAAGCCAGGAAGTCAGACTATAAGTTATGTAACAGTCACAATATTAACAAAACTATCAATATCTGATCCATCATTTATAAAGCAGGGAAGAAAGTATAGATTGTAGAACCTAGTTCTAGCTTAATAACACTCTCTTAAAACACACATACACACGCTTCCCCCAATTACAGTGATTTTAAAACAGACCTCTAATAGTTTTTCAGATTCCCTCAATTTTTCTTCTTTTTGCTGCTGCTCCTGCAGGACAGTCATACTGGTTCCAACCAAGTCATTGACCCTCATGGTGAGGCGCTCTATTTCCAACTCATTGGCACAGATAGTGTCATTGGCCCGCTCCAGTTTACTGCTTAAGTGTTGAATTTCTGATTGGCTGGAAAGTTCCACAGACTCTAATTTCTGTTTCCGATTGGCGAGCTGAGCCTAGAAACACAGACTATCAATCAATAGGTAAAAGGGAAATTATAAAATAATCAATGAATAAGACTAAAATGAAACTATTATTTCCATAGAAGCATAAAGCACTGGCTCACTAAAATATATATACATTGAGAAGGGGTAAGAAAGAACTGAGAGGCTGGGCATGGTGGCTCATGCCTGTAAGCCTAACACTGTGGGAGGCTGAGGCGGGCAGATCGTTTGAGCTCAGGAGTTGGAGATCAGCCTGGAAACATGGCGAAACCCTGTCTTTATCAAAAATTGGCCGGGTGCGGTGGATCACGCCTGTAATCCCAGCACTTTGGGACGCTGAGGCAGGTGGATCACGAGGTCAGAAGATCGAGACCATCCTGGCCAACATAGTGAAACCCCATCAAAATACAAAAATTAGCTGGGCGTGGTGGCGCATGGCTGTAATCCCAGCTACTTGGGAGGCTGGGGCAGTAGAATCACTTGAACCAGGGAGTCGGAGGTTGCAGTGAGCCGAGATTGCGCCACTGCACTACAGCCTGGTGACAGAATGAGACTCTGTCTCAAAACAAAGAAACAAAAAATACAAAAACTACCCAAGCATGGTGGCATGAGAGGATCACTCGAACCCAGGAAGCGGAAGTTGCAGTGAGCCAAGATCATACCACTGCGCTTCAGCCTGTGTGACAAAGTGAGAACCTGTCTCAAAGAAAGAAATAAATAGAAAAGAATGGATAAAGTAAAGGGATTCCTCAGGAGAAGAGATGCTACAGTATTCTACCTACTTACACAGAAATTCAACTGCAACCTGGCTGGAATTATTTCCTATGTAAAACATAGGAAATAGGAGCTATAATGCATTATTATATTTCTGATGGAAGTTTAGAAATTAGATTTCAAAATCACTAAATTTGTAGTTTAAATTCCGCCCCCCGCCCCCACCACCTGGAGCATGTTGTAATTATTCTGTTTTAACATTATAAACATTCATATTTAGATTAGTCAAAGTAACCATAAAATGCTCTTTAAATTCAGAGAAATGGGGAAATTGTGGATTTTTGTTCATTGGAGGAAAAGGTGCTTATAAGGGAGGAGAGATTGGTTCTGTCATCAGTTTTTGGACACTTCCTGAGTTAAAAGAGGTAGACAAATATAGTGCATCTCAAATTGGTTTCTCTCAATGATATATCTACTGACTACGTTTTAGGCTATGCATCCCAGCAATATTGGGTTTTAGCTCCAAACTTTTTAGTATTTACAAGTTTTAATCCAGCATCCTGGCTGGTACTTCATCTACACACTGAAGATGAATATAAATAATCTGTGGAAGTAAACTTCCCTTATTCTAAATATTTCTAAAGGTAAAAGCACACAATTTTATTTTAGAAATACAAGTAGAAATATCTCTGGGAAATCTATCTGTTGCAGATTTAAAGATTTTATTATTTGCAGTACAGGTCCAAATCCTGTACTGTATACTGTAGTCAAATAAAGTAGATGCTAAAAACTTCCCATAAGCCAGAGAGAGGGTAGAAGAGAGGTGAAGAGACAGACAAATACTGTTTGTATAAATTACTGATCAAGATTTCAGTGCAAAGAGCCTTTTTTTTTTTAAACCAGATTCCTACAATGGTATAAAGGAAGAACATCAACATTTAGGTTTAGATTCACTAGAACAATTGCTAAGCATGGAACTGTCTCCAAACTTTTAAATATAATATAAACTTTTTTTTCAAAGAGGAAAGGTTTCCTGTGCAGAATAAATAAATGCAGAGAATGGGTGAGGGTGAGAAGGAGAAAAGGGTTAGAGCTCAGCTTGCTGAAATGTCCCTTAGTCCTACCCTTAATCTGTGCAGCAGCCCTGGGTCTTAGCAAAACACAGCTAGAAACCCACTGCCCAAATGGGCACTCAGATAATATATCATTGCAAAACACTATCTTCCTAATACTGCAAGAGTTACCTAATACTATCAACTCAAATCTGTGATCTTAAACTCAGTATTGATATAATAAACTAATAGTCAAACCAAGGTATACTTTAACCAGTGATTCTAGATTTGCTAAATACTAAAAAACTTCTCAGTTTTGAAGAATGAAGAACATAACCTTCTTTCACTGATTTACTATTTTGGTCACACAAAAATACAGTTTTTTTTAAGCATAGTGAAAAGTACATAACTCAAGTACAAACTCTAAATTTTCATTGCCTAGAATACACTAGGGTTGCACTACCATCGCAGTCACCCACATGCGGCTACTGCACAACTAAACTGTGGCTAATCTGAATTGAGATGTACTCTTAACTGTAAAACACAAATTCAGTTAAAGATTTCAAAGACTCAGTTAAAAAAATGTAAAGTAACTGTTGTAATATTTGATATATTGAGTTATTAAAATTAATTTCACCTTTTTACTTTTTAATGTGACTAGTAGAAAATTTTAAATTACATGTGACTCACCAATATCTATTAGCATTACAATAATCTCAAGAATACCTCATCAATACTAAGAAAGCATTATTTTTATTTTTATTTATTTATTTTTTTTAATTTTTTTATTATTATTATACTTTAAGTTCTAGGGTACATGTGCATAACGTACAGGTTTGTTACATATGTATACTTGTGCCATGTTGCTGTGCTGCACCCATCAACTCGTCAGCACCCATCAACTCGTCATTTACATCAGGTATAACTCCCAATGCAATCCCTCCCCCCTCCCCCCTCCCCATGATAGGCCCCGGTGTGTGATGTTCCCCTTCCCGAGTCCAAGTGATCTAAAAATAATTATTTAAAATACTTATAAAATAATGATTATTTCTGATAATTATCTGGCTTTAGAGGTATTTTAAGGTTGGCATATTGTTAAACTTTTTTTTTTTTTTTTTTTTTTGCAGTAACCACTAATTCTTTGAGCCAGAAACAGGCATTCCTCTTATTAATCTAACATTTAGCATTCTATTGGAGTGGGTAGAGAGTTATTTCAACAATACAAATCACAGCAGAGGTGGTTAAAAGAAGCAATCAAGAAGGCAATTTACATCAGGGAGACTGAAATTGAAACTGAAACAAATGGCCAGTGTGGGCAGCTAAAGCGTGAAGGAGAGTGGAGAAGAAATTGGGGACTGGGGGTTGAATTCAAATCCTCTTCTGGATGTGTGATAGGTACTTCCTGGTGCTTCAAGAAAAGGACTCTCCCAGATAGTGAGATTACTATGAACAATGTGATATGAAGCAACAGGGCTTTTTATTTTCCAAAGAATCCCAGTATAAAGGTATGGCCATTGTAAGCATCAATCCCTTACTAAGCTCCCCATCACTGTCAACTCCAAATGCGCCAGTGCAGGCCACAGCCTTGCAGCATTTAGAGCAGCCTAAAGAGCCTGCTAACAACACAGCTCCCACTAAGATCCTGTTATCACTGCTGTGTCTATGCTACTATGAACTTTTAAACAGTAAGTCTAAGTCAATTCAATTAACTCTGATATTTCTACCAAGACAACAGATTAACATCTGAGTTAGGGTCATTTTTTTCTTCAAAAGTTGTGACAGCAAAAGGATGCTTTTAAAAATATAACATATATACTTATAAATACATTTATATACATATAATTAACAGTGGATTTAAAATTAACTTGAAGAATATCTTACAGCTCATCTAAGCATTTCAAAAGGAAAACATATAGAGCAACCTCTACTTTTTTCACATACTGTTTATCAGCTAAATATTTTATATTTTATGTTGGCTTAATATTTTAATTTTTTTCAAATGTTCCTAATGTTCACTAAGTTTTCCTTAAACATTTCCTTTGCATTATGTAGGCAAGAGAAAAAGTAGCAGGCAATTTGTTGCCTTCTAAACATAAATGACCTTGGTTTTAGACTGTACTGATCCTTTTCTTATACTATATAACCTCCATTCTGTTATTACATCTAGCATTATAGTTTAACAACTGTACTTTTAAATAAAATACATTTTAATATTTGATAGAACAAACATCCCCCATTACTCTTTTTTAAAAAATGTTGGTGGCCAGGCACGGTGGCTCACACCTATAATCCCAGCACTTTGGGAGGCTAAGGCGGGTGGATCACTTGAGGTCACGAGTTCGAGACAAGCCTGACTAGGATAGTAAAACCCCGTCTCTACTAAAAACACAAAATCAGCTGGGCATGGTGGTGCATGCCTGTAATCCTAGCTACTTGGGATGCTGAGGAGGTGGATTGTTTGAATTTGGGAGGCAGAGGTTGCAGCGAGCCGAGATTGCGCCATTGCACTCCAGCCTGGGCAACAAGAGCAAAAATCCACCTCAAAAAAAAAAAAAGTTGGCTAGTATCATTCATTTATCATTCCATATGAATTTTAGAATCATTTTGTTCCTGAAAACGTTATACTCAGTAAATTATATAACCATTTAAAAAACAAATTTAGATCCCTATCAAATACTTTACACTAAAATAATTTTTAGATAAAATGCATTAAAAAGAAATGATAAAGCATTAGAAGAAATTTGACTTAGGTAAGACTTTATAGTATGATATCAAAGATAGAAACGCTGAAGAAAAAATTGATAGAATTAAGTAATTCTAATTAACTGTTTAAAAAACAATTGTATTTCCATAAAAAAATTAAGGTAAATTGAGTACACACACACAACTGTAACATAATAGCAAAGGACTTATACTTCATACTTAAGTGTATGAAGAGCTCTTTCAGAATAGTAAAATATAAACATCTGGCCGGGTGTGATGCTAACACTTTGGGAGGCCAAGACGGGCAGATCACTTGAGGTCTGGAGTTCAAGATCAGCCTGGTCAACGAGGTGAAACCCCGTCTCTACTGAAAATACAAAAATTAGCTGAGCGTAGTGGCGAGCACCTGTAATCCCAGCTACTCAGGAGTCTGAGGCAGGAGAACTGCTTGAACCCGCGAGGCAGAGGTTGCAGTCAGCCAAGATCAGGCCACTGCACTCCAGGCTGGACAACAGAGACTCTGTCTCAAAAAAGAAAATAAAATAAGATTTAAAAAAAAATCCTAAAAGAAAGGCGAATAAAGGACACAAATAATTTATGAAAAATGAAGTTGGCCATAAACATATGAAAAAAGTGCTCAACCTCACTCATATTACAACAATATATATTAAAACAATGATATCATTTTTTTTCACCTATAAGATTAGCAAAGACAAGCCTAAAAGTGGGGAAAGTCAAAAGAAATAATAGTGCTTAATGTAGGGAAAATATGAGGAAATGGATATTCTCACATACTACTAAAGAAAGTCTATCAATCCATCATTGGAGAAAACTTTGGCAATGTATATTAAAATATCTGAATGTACTCTTATACAGCAAATCCAATTCAAGGTCCATTTCCTAAGAAAATAAATATTCCTAAATGTTTATATAAGGATGTTAATCTAAGCACTATTTACAAAAGTGAAAAGTAAAAAACTAAATGTTCTACAGTATGGGACTGGTTACAAATGTCATCATACGTTTGACGATAGGGTGGACTTCTATGTAATCATTATGACTACAAATTTGTTGACATATCGTATTTAAAAAGGAAAAATTTTAAAGCTGTGAAGTGCTTAGCTGCTTAGCATAGTATCTGATCACATAGTAAGCATTCTATATATTTTAAAGTTATTACTTCATGGAAAATTTCAAGCATACACAAATATAGAGAGAGTAAGATGAACCCCTATCACACAACTTCAAAAATTATCAACACTTTGCTACTGTCAGTATTTTTTAAAGTTTGCAACTACCCCTCCCTTCCCACTCACAGTGCATATAGGTTTTTCCTACCAAAAGTACATGAATGTATTGCACACTGTATGTAAGCATACACAAAGTCAGAAGAAATTTATACCAAAATTTTATTCATGGTAAATCTCTAAACGGTAGAATTATGGGTGATTTATTTATTTCTCATTTTATCCGCATTTTCTCATTTTTCTAAAATAAGCATGTATTATGTAATTTTAATAGCTTATTAAAAGAAATGAATTCAAGCAAATATATGTCAAAGAATGAGAAGTTGTTTCTGAATTATACTTTTAGATGTTAAAAACATACAAAAAAAAATTTTTCCAAGGTTTTTTTTTTAATGAAGGGTAGGTTAATATCCACTTAGTCTCCCAGGTTTTCCACTGCTATTGTTCAATGGTGACCCACATTTCAACCAAATGCAATATATCAACCTTGACGGGATTCTGACTCAAACATCCGATTGTAAAAAGATAGTTTTTTGGACAACTGGGGAAATGTGAACAGACTGGATATTAAGTTATATTAAGAAGTTATTATTCTATTAATGTGATACTGATATATTGTAGTTATTTTTTAAGTCCTTACCTGTTTGGAAATAAGATGATATCTATGATTTGCTCTGTAATATTCCACCCCAAAATAAGAAGTAGTGAATGGTATAGAGTTTCAGTTTGACAAGATAAAAAAGTTCTAGAGATCTGTTGTACAATGTACATATAGTTAACATTACTATACTATACATTTAAAAATGGTTAAGGTGGAACATTTTATGTGTATTTTACCACAATTAAAATAAAGATTTACAAGATGACAACTATTAATGCTCGTTAATGGATATAGATAAGTTTATTTAGATGTTTAAAAAAATGATGATCATACAGCACTGGTATATACTGAATCATTGAAAGATTTAATTTTATTTAGTTTGCCAAGGGAGAAAGATAAATACATTTATAGGTAACATTTTTATTAAACAATCAGATAGTTTTAGGTTAAACAAAACTATCAGAAGAATAATTCAAACACCCTTAGTAGGAAAACAAATGTTGGCTGTTGAAAGACTTCTTACTCTAGCCGTAGCTGAATTACAGTAAGTAAAAATCCCATTTTTGCTAACAATGAAGTTTTTATCATGTAGAGTCAATAATCACAATAGTAATTTGGAATAGAATAACAGTAATGTGAAAAGAGACTCTATAATCAATAATACTCCATGGATAAACAATTGAGAACTGTAAAAATTAAGACTCAATTTGTTTTTTTGTCAATCTGAAGCCTACAACTAGAATATAACAATATCTTGGTCAAGTGTGGTAGCTCACACCTGTAATCCTAGCACTTAGGAGGCCAAGGTGGGAGGATAGCTGGAGCCCAGGAATTTGAGATCAGCCTGAGCAATGTAGCGAGACCTCATCTCACGAAAACCAACAAATTTTGTTGTTGTTGTTAAGGAAAAAAAAACATGTATTACATATAAAACAATACCTTATAGTTATTAGGTCTGTATAGTGCTTTGGCATTCAAGTAAAAAAACTGGTCTAGACATCTCATGATTTCACTGGTCTGTCTGGCTGCGTAGCTTGCTGTGGCCTAAAAAATAAATTTCTTCCTTGCAGTTGTTGTGAACTTTTCCTATCATTTTGAATGAAGTTACTCACAGCAGACCCACTGTCGGTAGTTTATCAGACAGCTGATATTTCAGGGAGACGAACAAAAAGTTAATGCATTATTGAGACTTAAAAAAGCATATAAATGCAGATTATTTTAAAAAATCCAAAAAGCCAAAAAAAGCAAAAAACAAAAAAACCTCCCTTCTAGCTATTTCAACTTACCCAGTCTGTTCCCTCATTCTATAAAACTAAGATAACTACCAACCTTGACAGATTATCATAATATTAAACAGAGAACACACACAAAAATTGTCTAGAAGCACTGGGTCAATGTCTAGCACATAACAGATGATCGCAACTTTTTTTTAGTTTCCTTTATGTTCTTGATTCTAACTGAAAAAGGAATGAGCTGAATAGGTTCTTATAAGACATATTCCTAAAGTAGGTGTCTGGTTTTTGGTTTTGCTTAAGCCATTAAGAGAAAAGTTTCTATCAGTGTTCTAAAATAAGTATTTTTGTTACCACAAAGACACCACTTTTAGTTAGTGTGCACACCATTGCCATGTGACTCTCTCCACATCTGTCCGCACGGGCAGACAAACTGAAGCTCCCCGGCTGAGGCACCTCGGCCAAGACACCCCAGTGACCATAGGGATGGTGCAAGGCACGGACTATAGTAGAGCTGAGAGACCTAACAAGAGACAGAAAGACATGGAAAAGGAGACAGAGGGAGGAATGGGATTGTGGTAAGGAAGAAAGAGAGGAGAGGAAGAAAGGGCGACAAAGCCAGGGACCAAGATGAGGACAGCATAGAGCCTCAGTAAGCAAGACAATGACAGAGAGTGGGTGAGCAAGTCAGAAACAAGCAAGGAGGCAAAGCGGCAAGCCGGCACAAAGACATGAGCCTGGACAGGAGAGTGAATATACGCATGTGTGAGGGCAGGAGGGAAGGAGGAGCTGGGTCTAGATGCTGAGGAGGAGAGGCTACCTAAACAAGAAAGAGAGCAGGGTTCGTGGAGAGAAGCTGAAAGAGGCTAAATGGTACCAGGACACTGCATTAAGGTAGTTCAAACTTGATCAAAACCTATCTGCTTCTCATTATTTTAAAAAGTCTTAGGCCTACCTGAATTATCTCTGATTGTTCAGCCAGAGCCTTCCTTTGTGCCTCCAGTGAAGATACCTGTTGCTGATAAATCAAGCGTTGCTTCTCCCAGTCCAGCGATTTCTGACGGAATTCCTGAGGAAGCAATTAGAGTACTTAATTTCTGAGTGCTTCTCCTCACTGTCACTACTTCCCAGACTCCCTTTTACTTTAATTTCTCCCCATGTCCCTGGGTACGCTCGCACCTTTCTCCACAGCAGGAGACCCATTACTCACTTAGCTAACAGAGCTAGAGAGCAACACTAAATTCCTCACATACTGTGCCTCTGGATATCTGTCTTTCTAAATTTAACACCCTAATGGTGAGGAGTATGAAACGCAGATGCTAAGCACTGGATTCAGATGTTTTTCATTGATTTGCTGCCACCTAAGGGTTGTTATAATTTTCTAGTGAATTTTCAGAAAACTGACGCTAAGATAACTAAAATTTTTAAGTATGATTACAGATATCCCTCGCTATCCAAATTCTTGATATCCAGACCCAGGAATTGAACAGATTAAATTTTCAGATAAGTCCTTTGGTAACCCAAATCTTACTTCTCAGTATCTAAAACTCATGAACCAAGTAGATTCAGACAATACAATATCCTTTGATGTCCAAATTTTTATTATCTCAACAGAGGAACTGCAAAGGCTTGAATAACAAAGAAAATCTGTACTAAATTTTAACAGATATTTGTAACCCAAAGCCGAACAGTTCAAAATTAATGATGGATCAATAGTAACATCAAATTGCATGATCAAGAAAATGATTTCAATATTTATGAAAATGGGGCAAATCAAAGGGAAAGGAAACTCAATCTTTCTATCACTGTCTTCCAGGATCCTCAACTCCAGAAGTCTCAGGCTCCTTAAGATAACTGTTGTTAACCAAATTTCTGATATTCATTCATTTATTCATTCATTCATTCATTCATTCAATCATTCTACTATATATGCCAGGTACTGCTTTAGGTGTCAGGGATACAATACTTAACAAAACAAACAACCCACCCTAGTCCCACTCAACTGGGGGCAACAGATGACACATTTCTTGTATGGTATAGCAGACGGTAATACACGATTTGGAGAAAACAGAGCATGAAGTCTTCAGAGTTGGGGTTGTAATTTTTAAAAGGGATGGCCAGACTGAGTGAAAAACATTTAAGTAAACACTTAGGGAGATGAGGGTGAAGTTACAATATTCTGGGTGGAAAGAACAGCCTTGAAATAAGAGCATCCTGGTGTGTTTAAGGGTGAGAAAGGAGACTGGTGTGGCTGGAACAAAGTGAATGAAAGGGAAAATAGGAGAAGACAAGGTATGAGAATGAGACCACGTAGGCCATTAGGATAACTTAGGTTTTTTTTCTTTTTAATACTTTAAGTTCTACGGAACATGTGCACAACGTGCAGGTTTGTTACATATGTATACATGTGCCATGTTGGTGTGCTGCACCCATTAATTCATCATTTACATTAGGTGTATCTCCTAATGCTATCTCTCCTCCCCCTGCTCCCCACAATAGGACCCGGTGTGTGATGATCCCCTTCCTGAAGCTGCTGGAAGGTTTTTGTATAGGAAGTGATATAATTTGATTTACATTGCAGCAGAATCATTCTGGCTATTGTGCTGAGAAAAGAGAAGTCTAAGATGACTCTGAGGTTTTTAGGTCGAGCAAACTGAGTTGCTATCAACTAAAACATGAATCAGTGTTGGGGAGATGAGGAAGAGAAAGACAGGACCTTTAGCTTGGACATGTTAAGTCTGACACATTTCAGACATCATAGTGGAGATAGGAAACAGGCAGTTGAAAGTTATTCTGTCATGAAGAGGCAAGGTCTCGGCTAGATATATAAATTTTGAATTGTCAACATATACACAGTGTTAAAGCTATGAAATTCAATGGGACCAATAGGGGAGTGAGCGTAGACAGGAAAAAAAAAAAAAAGGAAAGGTCCAATGACATGATCCTAGGTTAAGGAGTAACGGAGACTGAGGAGTGATGAACAAGGAGAAAAATGAGAGAAATGTGGTTTTTCTCAAGCCAAGTCAAGAAAGAGGGTAAAGAGGTGGGAGAGACCAGCTCTCCTACAAAGCTGTAGGTAGGATGAGGAAGATGAGGACCAGCCCACAGGCTCTGGGAATGTGTAAGTCACTGGTGACCTCTATGTGAACAACTTCTGCAGTGTGAGGGGACAAAAGCCTTGAGTGGGTATAAGAAAAATGAGACAAGAGGAACTGGAGACAAGTATAGATAACGGAGGTAATTTTTTAGTTATAAAATGAAAGAAATAAAATGGGGCAGAGGAGGAAGAGACAGGTCAAGAGAGGATATTTAAGAGTAAGGAAATTTGGATGCTGGTAAAAAATATCCAGTAGAGAGAAAAAAATTAATGGTGCAGAAAAGAGAAGTTGAACTACTAGAGTAATGCCTTGGGTAGAAAAGGGGGAGGGCATGGGTAGTTCCTCCAGGAAAGAAGGCAGGGTACATGGGCACAGATGCAGATAGGTGGGTGGACACAGAGCTGGAAGTCTATACACAGAGCTGGAAGTCTATATATCTTTGGGTTATAAAGATATAACCCAAAGGTGAGGATGTGGGGATAGGTGTTGAGAGTTTGAGGAGAAAAGCAGAAGTCTAAAATACTCATTGTGGAAAGTAGGAGATGAGAGGAAATACAGTACGATTCCAGGTAGCATTAGGACCCATTTGAGGTTAGGGACCATGAATTTAAAGTGAGATCAGACAGTATAGTTAGGGTTTTCTCCAGCCATGTTCAGCGATACATGACAGGTAGAGAGTGGGCAGAAAGGTGGACTTAAGCAGATCTGTGATTCTGCCAAGCAAATATGAGGAAGCAAGAGAGGAGCACACGAGATGAAAGGGAAAGTTAAAAATGTAATCACAGAATTTAAAAGCTGGCTAAAGACCAATAAGTGAGAACACTAAGTAGATAATGGAGCAGTAAAAAGGCGGCAGAATTCAATCATTTTAAGGGATGGATAATGATTACTGAGAGTCAAAGGACTAGAGAGAGTTAGCTGAAAAGATAGGGATTGGTAGTCTGATAATTAAATGCTTGAAAATGAGATTCTAGAGGGGTGGCATATATTGGTAATGACAAGAGCTGAGGAATGGCAATGGGAATAAGTAGATGAGACAGAGACATAATCAAACCATCTATGGAGGAAAGAAAGACAAGAAACTGTAAGGTCAGAGTATTATAAGCATCATCCCTCCAGATCCTGAGATCCTCAAAGTTATGGTAAGAGTAATGTTGGAGAGAACTGACAGTGAGCTGGGTGCTGAAATCAATGAGCCAAGGAAATAACCCAGAGATCAGAAGATGACTACTTTGGTTGTTATGTACATTGGGTGGCAGCATAGGCTGGTAACATGAAAATCAAAGATGGAGTTTTTGAGGTAGCAAGGAAAGAAAATAGGAAGTGGCAATGTGAAGCAAGAAGGATATAGGGTTTGGGGGGAAAAGGTATTGCTGAAAAGGGTGGAAGGGAAGCAGTATCTGCAGTCTTCTGATTCTAAGCTCTTCAAATGTAAAAAAATTTGAGATATAAAGGAATATTAAACACAGAAATTATAATTTTAAGTAACAACAATATACTGGCATTTGTGGGTGACAGGTCACTGAGAGTAAAAACTTGTAAGTGATCACACAAAGATGTTGAACAATGTTTCTCAAATCAGAATAAGCTAGGGGAGCTGGATACAATGCAGATTGTAGGTCCTATGCCATCCTAGGTCCTATGCCATACTGCTGGATCAGCATTTCTGAGAGCCTAAAAGTACCCTGGGAATTCTTATGTCCACTGAAAAACTAATAGCAAGGACAGAGGAAGAGAGTGACAGCTTTGTGCTGCTCCTTCATCTACTCTTGGTACTATTAGCTCACCACCTCCCCTTAAGTTCTCAATATATACAACAATCATGGAGTTATTCAGTCTTAATAAAAACAAAGTCAGCAGAGAAGGAAGTGAATGCCTTACTACATCTAAATGGGAATTGAGAATAATCTGATACAGAGATTACTTTGTACAAAAAGTGCTATGTACTTTCCACATTTACTAAGCCCCCACTTTATTAGGTGCTTGAGATACAATGATATATAAGACAAGAACAACGCCCACAGAGGACTGTCTGTAACTAGTGGTCAGTGTTTCCCAATGGGAGAGATACTGGCATTTGAGGTACAATAATCCTTCCTGTGTGGAACAATCTTAGGCATATTTAGTATCCCTGGTCCCTGTCCCCTAAATGCCAGTTTTATTATGCTCAGTCATTTTGACAACCAAAAAAAAAAAAAGGCCTCCATACATTTGCAAATGCTCCCCAAGGGTGGTAGTGCCCTGTTGAGAATTATTGATGGCCAGTAATCCCGTTAACCACAGGGAACCAGATGATGATAGGATGTATGGTGGATCACTCTCTCACCTTTGAAATAGCTTAGTGGCAGTCCTAAAGATGGTAGAACATTGGTTTCAGAAAATAGTGCCATTAAAAAAAAAAAGAAAAGAAAATAGTGCCATTAGAAACAGCATTTTCCTACATGAAGGCTGACAATCACTATGAACAAATTATTACTATGAACATACCTCTATTTTTGCAGTTAACCTCTCAATTTCAGACCGATCTTCCCTGTGATTTTTGGTATTTCCTCTGAATTCCCTCATTTGCTTTTTCTGAAGCTTTTCGTAGCTTCTCTTCAGTATGCCTAACTGTAGAAACAGTTATTTCTATACTTAAAGTTTAAGAATTTGAAAAGAGTAGTGGTGAGAAAAATTTGTATTATGAAAACAAGAGCAGTGCTAACCAGTATTACTGAGAACATGTTAGATTTCCAAACTAAAACACAAAAGGAAACTAAAAATTAAATATGTAAAACAAACATTAGTAAAGAAATACATTCAAAGAAAAAATTTTTAAAAAATTTTAAACAAAAGTTTTTGATTACAATAGCCTTGCACTTAAAGACCCTACCACCTAGCCCCACAATAAAAGCAGCAAATTAAAACTCTTTTTCTTTCCTCCAGGTCTGTGATTCTCAAAGCTATGCTCTTGCAGAGCACTGATATTTAGGATGCAGGAGAAGAATACTTTGCAATTAAATCAGAATAAAAGCAGTTTTTTCCAAATCTGAAGAATAAAATTGAGTTAATGGACAGAATTTTCTTACTTATTTATCCCAAAATGCTTCTTAAATTTTGGATCCTCCATTGTTTATAATCTAGTAACTGATAAAAATTAAAATATTAAATGTAATTTTTGGTATCAAGTATTTCACAGTATTACACAAAAACAGCCCTAACTTCTTTCAGGTACTCAACCAAGAAACATATTTTAGCATCTCTTCTAAGTAGCATCAAACCTACAATTAGGCAAACCTCTTTACCTGGATTAAAGAACAGAGAAATGGATTCCCACTCCTGTATCTTCCATGCACTATATATTTCCCACTTCACAAAGTAGAAAGGTGGCTTTCGTTAACAAAGTTCTCAAGGGTGAAAGAGAGAACTACATATACGACATTTAACAAAACTAAAATCTCACTTCTTCATGTAGTTTCTTCAACTCCTGCTTATACTCCATGGTCATCTCTTGCTTGATTTTTTCATGTTCTTCTACCTGCTGATGCAACATTCCAACCTAAAAGCAGAAAAGTGGTAGTATTTTTCATTAGCATTGAAACAACATCCCTGAGGTATAAAAATATAAAATAATCTCTGTATTTATTTGTAAATTCAAGTTCTCAAATGCATATCTATGGTTACCCCACTTCTTAGGAAGTCAAATACCTAGTTATTTAATAATTCTTAACATTGCCAAAAAATAGTGAACAAACAACTAGTTTTCAGAATTTCTAGGTTTAGATGAAAACTCTCTTTCTTTTTTTTTTTTTTGCTCTTTTTGAGATGGAGTCTCGCTCTGTCACCCAGGCTGGAGTGCGGTAGCACAATCTCGGCTCACTGCAACCTCTGCCTCCCAAGTTTAAACAATTCTCTGTCTCAGTCTTCCGAGTAGCTGGGATTACAGGTGCATGCCACCACACCTGGCACATTTTTGTATTTTTAGTAGAGACGGGGTTTCCCCATCTTGGCCAGGCTGGTCTTGAACTCCTGACCTCGTGATCCACCTGCCTCGGCCTCCCAAAGTGCTGGGATTATAGGTGTGAGCCAGCGCACCCAGCGGAAACTGTCTCTCTCTGTCTGATTATTCTACTCAACCCTTTTCATAAAAAAAAAAATCTCATGAAAATAAGAAATATAAAGTTTTGAGAGCCCTGGAAACCAACAATACTTCATAAAAAATCTAGAAGACTTTAAGAATAATTTCTCTACAATAAAGTACAGAATAGTAATGTCAGACAGGAAAAAAAAAGGAGGCCTGTGCCTGCTTTACCATTTGCCCAACTTCAGAGAAACAAGTTCCATCAACCATGGTAAGGAAGTTATCCTAACCCACTTTTCAATGATTTGATACCAGAGACATCTATTTTCTGCCAAGCCTTCACCTCCACAAGTATCCAGAAGTAATTCTTTTAATAACTAGCTAGAATTTCATCGACTGGTAAGTAGGAAGGGAGAGGGAAACAGGGAACAGGAGGGAGTAAACAAACACCATCTAGAACAGTAAATTTCTTAAAAGTACTAGAAATAAACTACTTATAAAAATGAGGAGTTAATGCAATTCCAATAAAAAATTATAGTGGAATTTATTTTTGTAAGAGAACTTGAAAAAGTCATTCTAAAGTTCAAACTGGAAGAATGGGTAAATACAGGCAATAAAATGGAAAAGTCTAGTTTTTAAAAAAAAGATGTAAGTGAATGATGTAACTGAATTTCTGGATGAAAGGAAACTTTCTGAGCTTAAAACTAATGAAAAAGTAATTTTAAAATGATACATTTAACCATGTAAAACTTCTATTTTAAAAAAATCCAATTAACAAAATTAAAAGGTAAACAAACAGAAAAATATTTACAAAAAATCAAAGGGCTTTTAACTTTTAGTATACAAAAAACTCTTACAAATTTGTAAAAAGTATTAAGCTCTCAACAGAAAAATAACTCAAGGACAAGAATGATTCCCACAAAAATATAAATGTCCAATAAACATGAAAAAAGACTTAATTTCACTAGTAATCAGAGGAAAACATCCAACGGCATTTTACATCTATCAAATTAGGAAAGATCTTATAAAATAAGACTTGTGTGGGTAAGTTATTTGGAATCAAAGACCCATAACGTGTTGAAATACAAAGCACATGACTTTCAGAAAGCAATGTGGGAGTGTATATTAAAACACTCATAAATATTCTTAACCTTGACTTAGTAAACACTACTTTTAGAAATTCATGTAAAAAAAAATAAATGTAGGCCGGGCGCGGTGGCTCAAGCCTGTAATCCCAGCACTTTGGGAGGCCGAGACGGGTGGATCACGAGGTCAGGAGATCGAGACTATCCTGGCTAACATGGTGAAACCCCGTCTCTACTAAAAATACAAAAAACTAGCCGGCCGTGGTGGCGGGCGCCTGTAGTCCCAGCTACTTGGGAGGCTGAGGCGGGAGAATGGCGTGAACCCGGGAGGTGGAGGTTGCAGTGAGCCGAGATCACGCCACTGCACTCCAGCCTGGGAGACACAGCGAGACTCCATCTCAAAAATAAATAAATAAATAAATAAATAAATAAATAAATAAATAAATAAATGTAGAGCCAGGTAGAGCAGCTCCCATCTATAATTTCAGCACTTTGGGAGGCAGAGGCAGAAGGATGACTTGAGCCCAGGAGTTCAAGACCAGCCTGGGCAACATGGTGAGACCCTGTCTCTACAAAAAACGAAAAGAAGAAAATAAATGTAGATGTTAAGAATTTGTCGGGACTGGGCATGTTGGCTCATGCCTGTAATCCCAGCACTTTGGGAGGCCAAGGCAGGCAGATCACTTGAGGTCAGGAGTTTGAGACCAGCCTGGCCAACACGGCAAAACCCCATCTCTACTAAAAATACAAAAATTCGCTAGACCTGGTGGCAGGTGCCAGAAATCCCAGCCACTCGGGAGGCTGTGGCACAAGATCGCTCAAACCCGGAAGATGGAGGTTGCAGTGAGCCGAGACAGCATCACTGCACTCCAACCTGAGCAACAGAGTGAGACTCAGTCTCAAAAAAAAACACAGAAATTGTCAATAGGGATTTGTTCTTTTATAAAAACTGGACAAACTGGAAAAAATCTAAATGTTTATAAATAAATTGTGAACGAATATAATGAATGAAAGTACATAATAAAATATGCAAACATTAAGCTGTATTAAAACAGTTAACATGCAAAATGCTTACCACTTAAAAAACATATGGATATAAAAAGTACACTATACTAAAATCCCAATTTTGGGAATGATTTTTACTGAAGTTTACTTACATAGCTTAAAGGAAATACACCAAATGTTAATACAGATTAACTCTGATTCAAGGTATTATGATTATTTTTTGCTTCATAGTTTGTCTTTTCTAAAATTTCTCCAATGGCTACTGCTTTTACCAGCAAGAAAAGAACATTTTAAAAAAGAAAAGAGGCTGACCCTAAGTCTACCTATTTTGCTTTGATAAAGATCATCAGGACTCATCTATTTGATTAAAACAAGTTGAACAGTCTTAACTATTCATATTTCCTAGCCCACAATCCACCAGAAGATGCAAAATTAGAAAGTATGGTAGGTAGAAGGGGTAACTACAATGATCAGTAGAAATGAGCAACAGCTTTTAGCAAAGACAGAAGAAAAAAGGGAAACAGATTATCCCAAAAGCAGACTCGTGTCTACACTGCTATAACCCGTAAAGACAAAGCACATCAAGCACATCAGTATGTAATAGCCATTACTCCTAACATATCACAACCAAGAGAAAAGGCAACCCTCAAAACACCACACCCGCACCCACACACACACCCTTCCTTAAATTTTCAGTAGTGTGGCCTTTTGGCCCTCTATCACATGTTAGACAAGACACGCCTGCAGAATCATAAAAACTTTAAATGATTTCATAAGGTCCGCTGACAGCATGGGAACTGACTAGGGAGTTCTCAAACTTAGGCTAAATAGTTCTTTGACCAAGGTTTTTAAAAATTGAAGACAAAGAGGGAGAAAAAAAAAAAAAAAAGCAGGGGGCGGACAAGATGGCTGACTAGACACAGCCAGGAGGAAAAGCTGCCAATGAGGGACTGAGACAACTGGTGTGCTCCTAACAGATCTTCAGAGGCGGTCACTGAGAGTGGATGGAGAGAAGACACAGAAGCTGAGATGAAGGGGGAGGAAGCTGGGAACCGTACATGAGGCGACTACTAGGCACCTGGACTCACTGCTGGCCCAAACAACTCTGGAAAAACAGATGAGCTGAACTAGCAAGAAGCAACCCCCTTTTCCCACGGGCCTCTGGAACCCTAGCAGGAGGCGACCCCTTGACCATCATGAACACTCAAGTTGACAGGGTGAGCCACTTAGAGAAATGATAGGAGCAGCAAGCCAGCTGATATGGAGCCCAGAGAGTTTGGTGCGGGAGTATCTGTGGTGGGGTGGTGGGGCATGGCCAGGGATAGCCATCCCCTTAGGCTTAACTGGCTCCCATAGGAGACTTTAGCTCTAAGGCAACTGTTGGACCCGAACTGTGCAGAGTGGTCTTGCCCATCATATGGGGCCAGTCTCACCTGAACACCCCTTGGCCTGCTGGCGGCCTCTCCCAGGGCCCCAGCGTGGCCACACATGCTTACAGGGCAGCCTTGGGTGGCCTGGGGGACTGCATCATAGCTTCTGTGCTAGCAGACTATACCTGACCAGCAGAGAGCTCCAGAGGAGTGGCCCCCATGGCTATGCACCAACCTGTACATTCCATCCCCATACTGCAGCTTCTCTGGGCCCACAGCAACTCCCCACATGGCTTTGCTGGCATGTGCCTATGCCAGCAGGTTTTGCTTTTCTTGCCCCACCAACAGGCAAGTGTACATGTATCCACCTTGCCACTGCTGTGGCGGGAGTGCAGTTCATCCCCCATGTCCCCACTGACCACCACTGCAGACAGAACCTTGGTGGGCACAAAACCAGCCAGTCTTGCCTCTGCCAGTGCCCCTTTCTTGCATCAACACTGCCGCAGGAGTGAAACTAGGCACAGAGAATAGCAGATCCTCCCCTGCACAGAGCAACCACTCCTGTTTGCAGTACACAGAGAAGGCACACAGACCTGCAACCGCCAGTGCCCTGCTCCCAAGCCAACACCACCACCAGTGCCACTGTGCAGTTGCCAGCAGGGGCCCCCGCTCACCTTCCAGCTGTGTTCCCTCCTCCACTGTGGTGAACACCTTCAGGGAGGCAAGCACCCTGGCACTCACCAGAACCCTGCCATAGCTGACAAGTGTATCCCCCACTGCACTGCTGCTACCACTGCTGCCAGCACATGCAAACAAGGATGAATCCCACTGTCATCGCACTATGAAACGCTTTGGCTGACACCACCCATTGGGGTGTAGTGACCAGCAGCAGTCCAGGAGCACCCTGAACCCCCAATGCAGTAGATTCCTAACTTCAAGGAGCCAGAGAAAAAAGTTAGGGCCCAATACAAGCCCCTCAGAGTTACACCACATAGTCTAGGAGTTGGGAGCTGAGCAA